CATTTTTGTCTTAGCTCAGGAGGGATGGCTCCAGAGCAAACTAATTTATGCAGGAGCCAAATCACCTGCTCACAACTTTAATACCAGTAGCTCACAAAGTAGAATTTTTGCTCACAAGACTCCACAGCTTAGAGGGAACATTGCCGTGGACTGCCAGAAACACAAGTGGGTTCTAGATCAAATCAAGCTTGAACTCCCCCTAGAAGCTAATGTTACCAAACTGAAGGTATTGCACTTCAGTCACATTATGAGAAGACAAGAGCCACTGGAAAAGAGAATAGTGCTAGGAGAAGCTGAAGGCAGCAGGAAAAGAGGAAGACCCTACATGAGAGGGGCTAATTCGATCAGGGAAGCCACGGCCCTCAGCATGCAAGACCTGAGCAAAGCTGTCAATGATAGGACATTCTGAGAGTCATGAATTCATAGGGTCGCCATGTCGGAAATGCTAGGAGAAGCTGAAGGCAGCAGGAAAAGAGGAAGTCCCTACATGAGAGGGGCTAATTCGATCAAGGAAGCCACGCCCTCAGCGTGCAAAACCTGAGCAAGGCTGTCAAGGACAGGACATTCTGAGAGTCATGAATTCATAGGGTCGCCATGTCGGAAGTGACTCCACAGCACTTAACACAAACACATGCAGCTCACACAGGCATAGCTTTGATTTGGGGTATGCTCTCGCCCCTGGAGGGAGGAGAAGAAACTGGTAGCTGCCAGGCAACTATAGGTATGTTTCTCAATCATCCAAGGTTGGCACCTGGTATTTTTGGCCACTGTGTGACAGAGTGTTGGACTAGATGGGCCACTGGCCTGATCCAACATTGGCTTCTCTATTGTTCTTAAGGTTAGGCATTACTAGGTGGGGATGGAGTTGCAAGCAGGCAGGCAACACAACCAGCCATTTACTGAAAAGGATGAGAGATCATGGGACAGGCTGAACTTTGTAAGGAAAAACAAATGATAACCAAATGATGTCAGTTAGAAAGGAAGAGGGAGTAGAAAAAATACAAAAGGGGTAAGGTCTCATCTGATGAAACCTTGAGTGAAACCATCTACTGAGCGCTGTACCGTCAGAAAGAAAAACTTGAGACCAATTTACTTCAAAGAAAACACCTTTAATGATTCGTTATTCATTACAGAAGATATATTTTTCTTTAACAATGTTTCGTTATATCACAGTTGTTTTTCCTTACAAAATTTACTGGAAAGAAGCAGAGCAAAAGATGTAAAAGTTATGGACAAACTTTGCCTTCTCTTCCATCCCACTTCTAGACAGATTTACACCAATGCTGCCCCAAAACATGATGGCCAAGGTACAACTTCCCCCTGCCCCAAACTAACACTGGAGTAATATTTTCCTCTTACATGCAAAAAGCTGTGATCCTTAGAGGCGGCATAAGAATTGCGCAAGTATGAACCTATGCCCCAGTTTCAATCCTCCCAAATGTTTCTCCTCTCACTGCCCTCACCTAAAGCGATTAAGATTGCTGACAGGTAGATCACAGGCGTTTTCAGCTGTCAGCCTGTCTCGCTGGAATAAAGCTGTGACTGTTACTAGCATCCTTCAGGAGACACGGTAAAACTGTTCTATTGAGGAAGGTATTTGAAGGAGCTAACCTTTCTACAGCATCTGCGTTAAAGTGCTCGTCAGACTCCAGTGCGCTCATTTTTCTCTGTAATGCTACTGGCAGATTATGC